ATACAGAGAAACCCTGTATACAGAAAAACAAACAAACCAAAAAAAAAAAAAAAAAGAAAGAAAGAAAGAAAGAAAGAAAGAAAGGAAGAAAGAAAGAAAGCCCAAATATGGCTTTGGCTATGCAGGCGTGTAAGTGCTGCTAGCTACCGCTCCAGCACTTCCCCTCTTCTGCCCCATCCCCACTCCATTTGTATTATTTTATTTTTATGTATACGTGTATGTCTGTGTGAGTGAATCCAGAGTGTGTGTGCAGGCACCAGAACAGGGCATTAGATTCCCCGGGGCAGAAGTTATGGGTCATTGTGAGATGCTAGACATAGGTGTTGGGAACCAAATCGGGGTCTTCTGTCAGGACAGTATGTATTCATAACCACCAGTCCATCTCTCCAGCCCCAAGCAGGCCACTCTTAGCTAGAAATAGCATTGGTGTCTCCTCCCCTCAAAATCAGTGAGCTGGAGCCCGTGAACACCGTCCATCATGTGTAGCGCTGTGACTTCACAATCTCTCTCCTCTCCTGGACTTCTACTCTCCTGCGAGGCTGTGACAGAATGAGAGGAGGGACATGGGCGCTGGTATTTGATCACCTTGCACTTCACACTCCAACCGTTGATCTGATACAGCACGGCAACTGGGCGGCCAGTGTGACCGGATGGACACACGGATGGAAGGATGCTCAATGTATAGACTGGTGAACATAAACAGGAAAACGAAGGCTGGCGTGGTGGCTCACAACCGCAATGCCAGCACACTCATGAGATGGAGGCAGGAGGCTACAGTGAGATTCATGTCTTTGTTTCTCATGTAGCCCAGGCTGGCCCACAAATCCAGCTGAGGATGGACTTGAACATCTGCTCCTCTTGCCTCTGCTTCCTTGGTACTGGGATTTGAGGGAAGTAGCTCCACATTCCTGCTTGAGAGGGAACCTTTCTATTTCCCAGGGTTCCCTGCAGCAAACACCCCCAACTCCCATCAGCCTCTGGCATAAACTAATCGACTTTTGTCACTATAGGTTAGATTTGCCTTTCTTACAATGCTGGGAGTGGAGCTGTGCTGTGTTAGACTTTTGTAAATGGCTTCTTTCAGTCAGTCCATCCATGCTGTGCTCCACAGGTCAGCCAGAATGCCAACCCCTCCCTCACTGGGGGATTCTATGGAAGTGATCTACCGCTGAGTCACACCCCAGCCCCTCACTGGGGGATTCTAGGCAGTGGCTCTACTGCTGAGTCACACCCCAGCCCCTCAGTGGGGGATTCTAGGCAGGGGCTCTACCACTGAGCCACACCCCAGCCCCTCACTGGGAGATTCTAGGCAGGGGCTCCACCACTGAGCCACACCCCAGCCCCTCACTGGGGGATTCTAGGCAGGGGCTCTACCACTGAGCCACGCCCCAGCCCCTCACTGGGGGATTCTAGGCAGTGGCTCTACCGCTGAGTCACACCCCAGCCCCTCACTGGGGGATTCTAGGCAGGGGCTCTCCAGATAAGCTGTATCTTCAGCCCTACATTTTTTTTAATGGCCATTAAGGAGTATCTTATGATACATAAAATACTTTCTAGTCTTCATCGTTTTATGTTGTGTTTTAAAAATTTTATTCATATCATTTTTTTTCTCTGGGAAAAAAAGTGGTCTTAAGTCCAGACTCTGAAGTCAGACTGACTATGTGATTTTGGAAAAGTTACTTACCTTCTTTGTGCCTTTATTTGCATATTTTTTGAATGTGGATAAACAATAGTGGATACAGTTTTTTGTGATGACTTCAGTGACCCCAGCCCTCCAAATCTTAGCTAGATTTTTAGCTAAGTCATCTTCTAGCCAATTTCCATGCCAAACTGCAGCAAGACAAACCACCCTTCCCAGGCTCAAACAGCATTTGCTGACACCTACAGTACAGTATCCTTCCCTAAGGACCAAGAAGTAACCACATTAACACCTGGGCCTGTAGTTAGCTGTTTGACCACTAGGTGGCGATCTAAGCATTGGTTTATATCATTTGGGGGTTAACCTTAGAGCACCATTAAGGTGTGGGGTGGGTTAACTTGGGGGGGGGTCTTTGGTCATTTGTAGCTCTCCACCATCCCATAAATAACCCCCAATAAACTTGTGTGTGTTATTCCATTGGCTGTTGATAAGTACCATCCCTGTCTGGAGACAGATGTTAATTTTACATCTTCCTGGGTGAGCCCCACCACAAAATTTAAGGAGTGTATGTTACATGATTAGTACAGGGCCTGCAGTGTAACATGCTCTGTCAATGTTGGCGTTATCAATATTCAATGTGATTGGCTCACAGTGAGTGCTCAGTGGGTGGGTGTATTTATGGAGCCAGTGTGAGCAGACTTTGATGTCAAACCTCAGTTTAAAATCCAGTAAGGCAGCTGCAGAAGAAGCTCAGTACAGTGGGTTAACACAGCTTGCCACCAAGCCCCATTGCCTGAATTTAATCCCAGGAAGGAGCAGAAATTCTCTTCGTTCTCCTTGTTTTGGTTCACACTAACAAACAGTTCTAATGATGTAAAAAGGAGGAAAAAACAACTTAAACACTGGAAAGGATACTTTAAATGCAGGCTCAAGTGTGAATCCCTAGCGTACGATCTTGTAATGTGCATGCCCGACCATGGGGAGGCAGCAGAGGGTGGTCAGTGAGTGAATGAGCAAGAAGGATTCTCCCAACTTAGGTCTCCAGAGTCAACTGGAGACCAATAACTCCACTTCAGCCTAAAACTCCTGGTGCATAAAAATGTTTGGAATATCAGGGCTGGTGGTGCATGCATTCAATTCCAGCATTGGGGAGGCAGGAGCAGGCAAATCTCTGAGTTTGAGGGTAGCCTGGCCTACAGAGTTCATTCCAGGATATCCAGAACTACACAGAGAAACCCTGTCTCAAAAACCCAAACCGAAACAAAAAATTAGAGGCTTGTGCCACCACCTGGTGCAGATAATGGTTTATAAAAGCCAAATGCTCAACAAGAAAATGTGGTTAAACAAATTAGAGTTCTTTGATAGGATGGCTTCTTCAGCAGCCCTAAAATTAATCTTCTTGAAGAATACTGAGTGACATGGAGAGTCACTGCAGGTATATATAGTCTTGGTTTTAAAAGGTATTTTCTATGGCTGGAGAAATGGCTCAGTGCCTGAGACCACTCTTTTTGACTGAGGACACTGCATATACATGTGTGTCATATGTGCATGCACACACACACACACACACACACACACACACACACAAGAGGGGAGTAGAAAAATTTTTTTTTTTTTTTTTTTTTTTTTGAGGCAGGGTTTCTCTGTGTAGCCCTGGCTGTCCTAGAACTCATCTGTGGACCAAGCTGGCCTCGAACTCAGAGATCCGCCTGCCTTTTCCTAAGTGTTGGGATTAAAGACAGCAGCACCATGCTCTGCTAAAATAAATATGGTTTTTAAAAGAAAGTTATACTATTCTGTCCAGTCTTCCAGGCATAGTGACATAAGCCTGTATTCCCATTGGCAGAGCACTCTTTTAGTGCATCAGAGACCCTGGGTTCAACCAGAAATAAGATGGAGAGGAGGGAAGGAGCGAAAAGCAGGAAACAGGGAATATCTCATCAGCAGCCCTTCATTCATGCTCTCTGCAGATGTAAACAGAACGCGGACATGTGTCTGGCAGTGTGCACTGGTGTAGAGGACAGGCAACAAGCATTTAACCAAATCTTTTTGGTGGAATTACCCCTTATTCAACCAGCCCTTCAGCAAATATGTACTGAGTACTTACACGCCAATAAAGTCATGGCCGAGCCGTGAGCAAAGATGAGTTCAAGGTCAGCCTGGGTTACAGAGCGAGGTCCTGTCTCATGAGACCAACAAAACCGTCAAACAAAAGCAACGTCAGCCAAGGGAATTAAGCAGAAGTGGACAAAGGGTTTAGGACAGAGGTGAGGATGCTGGCTCCTCCAGAGAAGGTGGTGTTTGAGGGAAACTTGACAGAGCCCTGAGCAGGAGCAGGAGGATCCCTTGAAGAACAGAGGAAAGAGCCAGTAATAGAACCAAGAGAGCCAGACCGGTTGGGGGCAAGCCTGTAATCTCAGCTTCCCAAGTGGCTCAGTGGTAAAGCACTGGCCTAGAATTCTCTAGGCTGGGGACTGCTTGCCTCCCACCTATGAAGGCCTAGGCTCAATGCCTACTGCCCAAACTAACAAACAAAACCCTCAAAAACCTCAAGGTGAGGTCTCAGTAAGACCATAGATCCAAGGGTGCATTTATGGGTTTCTTTTTTCCCCAGTGATTTCCATATTGACTAACTTTAAATTTTTAAGTTATGTTTATTTATTTAATTAATGTCCATGGCTCACTTGTAAAGGTCAGAATGGAACTAATGGGAATTATTTCTCTCCTTCCACAATATAGTTTCAGGAGATCGAACTCAAGCCGCTGGTCTTGGCAGCAAGTACCTTTTACCCAATTATCGACCTCACACCCCCGCGACTAATTAAAAAAACAAACAAAAACCCTAAACTTATTAAAATGATTAAGATCAAGTAGCGTCAGGTTTTCAGGTTCTGCCTGCACACTTCTTTCAAAATTTGTTATCTGATTCCTGAGGTCATAAACCAAGTAAGCGTCCGTTTAGCCTGCTTCTTTACCTGCAAAATGGGTATTAAATCAACAGCGCTGTGGTACCCCGCTTATTTCATAACCAGTCGCATGCTGAGACAGGCATAAAAAGTGTTAAAAACTGTTTCTGGCCATTATGTTACTGCACCCCACTGCCTTCCTTTGGAGTCGGTAGGAATCTGCGTGCCCAGGAAGCCGTCGTTTCTCCTTTAAGAACCAGAGTGGGCGGGGATGAAGCGTCCCCGCACCTTTTCCAAATTTTCCAATCTCGGCTCCGCATTCTCTCCCGGAGGTCTCCGATTGGACAATCTGCACCAATCAGCGGCTGCAAGGAACCCTGCCCGCCGTCTGGCCCCGCCCAGAGCATGCCCCGCCCACCACCGGCCAGCTCCGTTGCTATGGGGACTAGTGGGCGGCGAGGAGTAGGGGAGGCCCCGGATGTTCGTTGGGGTTTCAACATGGCGGCGGCAGTGGCCGCGGCGGCGGCGGCGCGAGACGGCTGAAGGCGGTGCGCGAGCGCGGAGTCCCGGGCCGGGTAGCTAGGCCGCGAGCGACCGCGGCGCCAAGCCGGTAGGCTAGGGGGTTACCGTGCAGGACGGAGGCTTGGGGCTGACGGGCACGGGGGTCCGGGCACGCGCTGTGGGAGAGCGGGTGGGGGGGGCGGGGCCGGAGGGGGTCAAAGTTCACTCGTAGAGGCCAGGGTCGCGTGGTGAAGGGTCGCGGGACGTGAGGGAGGGGGAGGGGGCTGTGGCGATCGGAGCTCGGGCCAGCCGAGGGGGCGTGGCCGAGTGTGAAATTTGTGCAAAGTTTCGAGCGCTCAGTGGGGGCGCGCAGGAGGGGTTCGCCCCGTTCTCAGTAACCCAAGAGGAAGGTGTGCGGGGGGGGGGCGGGTCAGAGGTCACCGCCCAGGGAGTGCGGGAATGAGTGTTAGGTTTGGGGGTGTGCGAGACAGACTGGGCGTAGGTGGAGCGTGCAAAGATAAAAGTCTGACGGGCACAGAGACTTTGGCAGGGTCAAAAGCTAAAACATCCAAGCGGGGCGCGTGCAGCGGTTAGGGGACCAGGGACGTCTGACAGAGCCTTGCAGAGTGCATCCTGGTGGTGGGGGACTAGAAAGGGCGCCCCCTCCCACAAGCAGCGAAGGCCACCCACCGGGAAAACACTGGTGGTAGGCTGGGCTCACCCCTCAGCGTTAACGCGCACTGTGTATGCACTCACTCGCTGTTACTAAGACGCTAAGTGATTTGCCCCAGGTCAGCTAATGAGTAAGGTGAGCAGCTGGGATCCCAGCTCAGAAGCAATGGCCCTGAGTGCTTCTGTGGCCTGCTGCCTTTCAAAGAATCTTGGTGCCCGTTAATGTTTAACGAGGCAGAGCACTGCGTGTGCCTGGTCCTGTTTCTTCCCTTATCTTGTGAGATGGGTGAGCTGAATATTAAAAGGACAACCCTGTTTTCCAGACAGAAAAACTAACGCCAAGAACGCTTTGCTAAGAGGCAGAAGCTGACCAAAACTCCTCCCCCCCTCCCCACCTGAAACTCACTGTCCACTTCCTAGGAGGTCTGTTCCTGGAAGCAGACAGCCAAGCCACTCCCTGGGTGGGAACCCAGTGTCTATCTAGCCTCCTTGGGAGGGTGTGACCTGGGAGGGGAGGTTCCCTTGGGCCTATGGGAGTGGCGTGTTGCTGGGTGGCCCAGAGTCCAGTGAGCTTCTGGTTGGGTGGGCGCCACCTTAGGAATTCCCTCTTTAACACCCGCTTGCTCTCCCTGTGGTCGTCACTGGCTCCCACCCTTAACTGCTATAGTTCCTGTGGCCCCAAACTCTTCAGTTTGAGGCTTTGACCCCCCTGCCCTAGCCAGCCATCTCTCCACTTTGGTAACTGCAGTTGGTCAGCCTTGGGCAGCGCTTGCCTTGGCTTTCTCCTGCTGTGAGAAAGCCCATTCTGCCTCTTCCTGGTTCCCGAGGGTGCACTGCTGCTGGTTCAGGGTGCTTCTGGAACTTCAGCTGGCTGCCGAGTACTGGGGTGGGGGAGGCTGTTAGGCCCTGGGCTGGATTCTGGGGCAGCCCATAGGGCCTGCTCAGTCTCCTGTGGGAGTAGGCTGGGACCAGACCTCAGCCGGGGACACTGAGCCTCACCTCTGGAAATGAAGCTAAGACAGGGGGAGTGTCCATACTCTGGGTCTGTCCTGAGGCTCCTGTCCTTGGAAAGTCCCTCGAGGAAGCTCTGCAGGGTGAGTAAGAGGGACAGGAAGGGATACAAGGTCACCAAGAGCGGTATGTGCATAAGCCCTCCTTGCTAGTAGAGGCCGGGGGACAGTCCAGACGCTCAGCCTGGGAAGGGCCACTTACCAGGACCCTAGTTTCCTCCCCCGCAGAGTGGCCTAATGAGTGCTGGGTGTGAGGGCTTGGCCTGACACCTGGCACACGGCCAGCCAACCCCCAACTGCTACTGGCAGTGCCAGGTGCCAGCCCCAGGTCTGTGGGCCACCTAGCCTCCCAGCCCTACAGTGCCAGCTTGGCACAGATAAGGAAAGATGGGCGTTGTGGGAAGGACCTTGTCTCTTACTATTTGATCTTTTTTTTTTTTTTTTTTTTTTTTTAAGTTTTTTGAGACAAGGTTTCTCTATGTAGCCTGTGTCCTGGAACTAGCTCTGTAGATAGGCTGGCCTTGAACACACAGATCTGCCTTCCTCTGCCTCCCCAGGCTCAGTTTGGGGTATTATGAGAGTGTTTTATATCGACTAGTTTTGTTCCTTATGCTCCGTGGTAGGCTGTGGAGAAAAGCAGAGCTTTCAGTGTTAGGGGGTCACCCAGCCATCCCTGTCAGGCCACAGGAGAACAGCCAGGGATGCCATCTACCCAGCACATGTCCCCTCTCCTAGCTTCCCTGGGGAACTGGATCAGCAAAGCCCCGAGAGACATAGTTGATTGGTGATAGTTCCTTCCCTAGCTGCATCAGCACCACCTGATGAGTGGGTCCTTGCTGAGGTGGCCTCCGTCCTTTGGAAGCCCCTGGGTGGCTCGTGTCCACTGCTGTTTCACAGTGCACAGACACTGTGTCACCTGAACATGCCCGGCAGTGTCCTGCCCAGTAAAGGTCTGGATTGGCCACTTGTTTTCCATGCTGTTTCGTAATTCTTTCTCATGATGGGTCACACAGGAGTCATCGTCTCACATTTTGGTGGCCATGTGGTCAGTTGCTTGTTGGGTCTGGCACTGTGCTGTGATGAATATTCTAGAATGTTTCCTTGTGAGCCACAGCCACTTTCCTTGTGGGCCACAGCAGATCATACTTGGCCCCGCGGCTGGGAAATGGCTCTCCTAGAGGGTTGTGTTGCCTGCTTCCCAGCAGTGCTCTGACAGTTGTGGCTCTGTGTGGAATGCTTTCCTCAGGACATGGTGGCCTCCCATTACTCCAGGCAATGGACACCACCTGAGGAGACAGCCTGTGTGGCTTCTGTACCTGATGCCCATCTAGTCTCATGTTCAGGACAGAGGGCAGGCTTCGGGGGCTTTGGCAGGTACTCTCTAGGGCGTGTATGATACTGGCCACAGCTTTGACCCCTCTTCCCTTAGGGATGCCTCCCAGGGTAGACATTTGGGAAAAGGCCTGGACTTGGGAACATCCCGAGGTAATATCCTCAGCCTGTGAGATTATTAGTCCCAGGGCTAACTAACAGAGCCTGGCAGAGGTGTCTCCGGATGGCGACACCCAGATCAGAGGGGTTTGAGTGGGACGGTCAGATCTGGTTGAGGAAAAATTAAACCAGGCCCCGAACAGAGAGTAGAAAAATTGCACAGGCGGTGAGTGCTGAAGGTGCCAAGGCCCCGGGGCCTCAGAGAGCTTGGGTTAGTGGAGTTGAGCAGACTGTGGTGTTGGAGACTGGGCGTGCATGGCAAATGCTGCAGAGCTGGGACAGGTGAGGAGTGTGGCTTCCAGTTGTCACAGAAGGGCTTGGGCGGCGGCGTTTTCCCTTTATAAAGCTTGCTTTCACTGGCTGGGGGGTGTTGCCTAGCATGGCGAGTCCCTGGGTTCCATCCCAATGTGACATAAACCAGACTTGATGGTGAATGCCTACAGCCTCAGGGAGTGGACCAGAGGGGCCAGAAGCATGACGTACTCCAAAAGCCAAGGCAGGTAGCCCAGGTTGCTGTCAAAGGAGAGGCAGCAGAGTTGTCGTGTAGGAGGAAGGGGAGGGAATTGATGGAGGGAGGGTCCTGTGAGAACCCTTCCCCCACACTAACAATCTAGGAAGAAGATACTGCAACTGTAGACACAGGAAAACAGACCAGGGGAGGTAGGAGACATGTCTAAGGTACCCAGCAGGCAGGTGTCAGGACAGAGGGTCAGGATTTGAACCCTGGCTCAGGACTCCAGAATCCCTGGTTACCCTGACAGCCCTCCAGTGACTTGAAAGTTGCTTTGATTGGACAGTGTCCATTTCTATCCCCATGAGTTCCTTTCAGACAAGTTCCCTGGGGACCCATTGGACACGAGTGCTGGATGTTGAGTTCGTGTCCCCTCCAGCACCCCCACGACCCTGCCCTTCCTTGAGCACTACTGTGAACCCGCTCCTGGCCTGTGGCTTATGATGAGCTAGACTTCCTGGCCAGACGCCGGTCAGGGGTGTCCTCAGCAGCTGTTTCTTGCATCTCCCTAACAGACTGGTGGCCACAGATGCTGGAGTAGGAAGCTGCCCCTTTCCAAGTCAGCAGCCAGGGAAGTAGACTGCCCCCCTCACTCATCCGGGCCGAAGCTTATTGTCTGCTGGATGCCTTGGCCCACAGGAAGGTTTGGGGGGTTGCTAAGGAAGGTCAGAAGGGGAGCTCCTCCAGATCCCAGGGGAGCACACGTTGATAGATGTGACAGAAGCCATAGCCCATTGCAGTCTGTCTCCCGAGACTGCTGTTGTCCTGCTCCTTCCCAGCAATCCAAGGGGCAATGGGGACTTCCCTGACGGATGCTCAGCACTGGCTTATCTCTTGGCCAGTCCCCTTGCTGGGATCCTGGTAAAATGGGGTGGCTTCAGTTCCCTGCCTGCCAAGCCCAGGCAGATTTGAGGGATTTCTGTAAAGTGCTGCCCAGGTCAGAGCCTTGATGGCTTTTCCAGATGTGTCATCTGGCGGGCGCCCCGTCCCTGGCCTTACCTGAAGCACAGCTGCACTGCCCCCCCCCCATTCCTCTTCCACATGTGCTCTGCAAAAGGACCCTGAAGCCATCCGTCACTGACCTCATTTCTCTTCCTGCATTTCCATCTTATGAAGACACATTGTTCTGCACGTGCATTGGTTACCTAGTCACTGCGTAATCGCGGGAAACCACACGCAGTCCCCAGATACAGGGGCTAGGGTGCTGGTCACTTTCCACACAATGCATTGTTCCCGGCTTCAGTAATTCTCTCTCCCACCGCTCTTGTTACTGCGAGCACCCCCTTCGCTTTTGCTCTTACTCAGTTTGTGTCATTCGATCCTCCTGCCTCAGCCTCCCCAGTGCAATGCCGGGATTACAGGTGTGTACTATCTCCTGGCCTGCATTTTGCACTTGGCCTCCAAAGCCATCCTTGAGTGTCCCAT